ATTAACTTCAGATGCAAAGGAGGTTGGGAGAAGCTGTGCCTCTGTTACTTTCAATCTCAGTAATTCATTTTTACATTCGTTTTTCTGGCCTTGTCACTTGATCTTTAAAGACATTTGAGCCTTATAGATTTTATTTTGTAAAATAAATTATGGGACACTTAATTTGTTATGTTCTTCTATTTCTAATAGTGACCACATCTGTCATCACTAATAAAGACCTACATGAAGAGCACAGCAAGACAAAAATTAAATGATAGGTCAAAACTATCCAAATAGGAAACCTGAAATGATATGCAAATGATTGAAAATCAGATTTTCCATACTCATATTTCCATTCCATATTTCCATGTGTTTCTTGAATTGCAGAAGTATATGGGGTAGCCCTGGGGGTACAGGTGGAAATTGCAAACAGTATTTGGAACTGTTTGAACCTAATTAAGTTTAATTGGTGCTGTCTGGCCTGTCTCAGTTCTGTATCTTTCTCTGATATCAGAAATACTGTTAAGAGTATGTTGAGACTTCCATGATAAACCTCCATTCCAATGCAGTCAGAAATGTGTTTAAAATAAACTCTTTGAAATTTTCCATCTCCCTTTCTTGCTGAAGGTGTTTTTGGCCTGGGTTGGGATATGTTCTTTCATTCTCAGAATAAGCCGACTTAGAGGCAAGGCACACAGAGGCTTAACAATGAATTTCAAGCTTATCTTTTTCCTCTCTTTGCACAAGCATGATGGTCAAAGCAAAGAATCTGTGAACATGGAAGGCATTTGAGTTAAAGATGCCACTCCTTTATGCAGACAAGCACCTGTGCCTGCAGAGAGCTCCTGGCTCTACATTTGCATCCTGAAATTCACATGGATCTTGAGGCCAAAGACCTGTCCTGCTGACTAACTCCCACACCAGTGCAGATCACTCTCAAACGACATCAAAAATTCCAAAGCAAAGAATCTGTGAACATGGAAGGCATTTGAGTTAAAGATGCCACTCCTTTATGCAGACAAGCACCTGTGCCTGCAGAGAGCTCCTGGCTCTACATTTGCATCCTGAAATTCACATGGATCTTGAGGCCAAAGACCTGTCCTGCTGACTAACTCCCACACCAGTGCAGATCACTCTCAAACGACATCAAAAATTCTGCATATGT